CAGTGATTCTTATTCTTGCTGAGGTTGTGATGAGTTTGTAGTCCACAAAGGATCCTGCAGCATTACCAATGTCTTCGAGCATTTCAACTTTCCAGTACTGGAGTGGAATGCCCTTCAGTTTGACCCAGAATGGGAGTTCAGATGGGAATGATGATGAATTTACCGGTTCCCACTATGACCATCCATCGGGAGAAGTGGTACAGTCTGTTATTTAGCACTTTTTGGAGATCTTCCTCAAACTCGAATCTGAACTGAAAAAAGTCATGTCTAAGGTCAGACCCTACCACTTTCCCTTTGAGATTCCAGCGTTTGGAGAAGACCGGAATAAGCGCCCAAATGTTTTGTTCTCGGGGGTTTGTGAGCCTTCCTATCAAGGTGAGAGCGTTCTCTCGGGCGAGGTCTGAGGTATTGATTTCCGGAGCTCGGATTCTCTTTCTTGGGGGGTGTTCCCGGGAGGTAGCCGGGGCTTTTCCTTTCTCGGCGTAAGAGAGTCTTCTTCCCTTCTCCATGAGGGTGGTGAGCTGAAAGTTGGCACAGGAGGACCTGGAGCAGGTGAAACTTCCGGGATATTTGTGAACAAGTGTAGCAGCGGAGGGTTCAAAATGGGTCCGATGGGGAGGACAGAGTTCAGGAGGAGTGTGGCTTCTTTCCTCGGATGAGCGGCATCTTGAAGTCGTGGGTTCGGGCGAGGGGCTCTTCGTCGGAGGTGGTTGGACGACTATGTGGAGCTTCTCCAGGGGCGGCGTTGGCTTAGCGAGACGATGGAAGATGGGCTCAGGAGAGCGGGAGGAGTCATTCCGGCAGCTACAGCACCCTCTGAAAGACGTCGGGGGTGGACCCCGGTGAAATTCCGGTCAGAAATACGGTCGGTTTGGAGATAATTGACTATTTTGGGTAAATAAAGTAAACCGAGATTTCAATAAAGTAGATCTGAAACTTTTTTGGTAAACCTCGTAAACCGTGTCAGAGAGACTTTGTTTAAAGCTGGACCAAATACTTCCCGTAATCTTCCCAAAATTAGTTTTGGTCAAGAGCCAGATATTCCCCATCTTAAAGTTTTGGATATAATGTTGCTCCACCACATTGATCTTAGATGGACCTAAAAGGAGGCTAAAATTGTTGGATATATATCTTCCTTAATAAGGTTTGATTTACAGACTGTCATTTCAGTGAGTCAGTTTTTCCAACAATTATAAGGGAGAAGAAAATAAACAGCTGGAAAATCAGTGAATAAAAATTATCTTGATCCTCGTTAAAGATGTGCACTAAAAGTTAAAAAGATAATTTATTTGAAAAGTTATGCCATAAGCATTTCCTGACCCCGTTGAGTGATATCAGCTGTGCTCCAATTAATTATGATGTCCCGGATGGACATATCAACTGCTTTTTTAGGCTAAAGATCGCATAAAGCGTGATAGACCTAATGGTTCCATATATAAGCATCTTCGGAAAAGAAAAAGTAGCATATATAAAATGGCAAGACCGAGGAAGCAATCTCTAGAAGAGACATAGACATGAGAAAGAAATAAATCTAGGTACCTAGTAATGATAAGAGATTTGAACTAGTTGAGTCATGTCTGGAATGAATGGAATCAAAATCAAATCGACGTCGATAATATTTTTGCATGCAATAAAGCAGTTGATGATGAGAAGTTGATATATTCATAAATTGCATCATTAGGTGTACATATTTTAGTCCAAATCATGTCTTATCTCATGCATTTTAGGTCTTTAAGCATTGTTTTAGGACTTAGGAGATTACATTAGGTCCAAGAGAGTTTTGCATGTTTTGGAGTGTTAAACAGGTGCTTTTGGAGCCAATTTGGAGTGGAGGATGTGATTCAGATGAAGAAATGGAGTTGGAATGATCAAAAATGGTAAAAAGGAGCAATTTTGGGTTTCTCGGCAAAATGCTGTACTGAAAGTCGAAGATCCTCGGCCAAAATCCTTCCCGCGGGTAGCTTTCTCGGCCAAAAACACGTACCGCGGTCAAGTCTCTCGGCCAAAAATCCCGGGTGCAGATACATTTCCGAAATCGCGTCACCGGAAGATCTTGCCGGCCGATTCAGCTGTCGGAGTCTTCATAAAAGTTGGAGATAACTGAGTCAAGAGTTCAGAACAGTTGGAATCAAAGCATTTGGCCCACGGATCTGAAAGATATGGTAATCGGAAGACAGACCTCTCTCGCATCCATTCCGGAACAATCCGATACTCCTGAATGATCGCCTGTCCGGGGAACCTTCCGGTCCGATTCAGTTGTCGGGGGCTTCATCAAAGTTGGAGAAGATTGGATCATGGTTCCATAGCAAGTAGAATAATGGAATTCGGACGCGTGAGCAGAAAGTTGAGCTCCTCGGAAGAAACCCCTGTCTCGCTGCCGTCTTGGACCGACCCGATGAGCTCCGAAGAATGCGAAGGACGGCGCACTTCCAGGCAGATTCAGTTTCCGGGGTCTTCATAAGAATCAGAGATGTTTGAGTCCTCTTTCCAGAACGTCCAAGATCATCCAATTCAAATGTATGAGCAAGAATTTAACGTCTCCGGAATGGACACATGTCTAGACGCCTTTCTCTGATCGTGTAAATGCATTGCGAAGATGAGCCCTCCAGGAAGCCTTCCACTTCCCAAGCGCCGATAGTTTCTTCACCAAAGATCGAGCTGAATGAGTTATCTTTCTCATGGAACTGGTTTCAGGTCATTTGGAGTTACGAGCTGAAAGTTACACTGAACAGAAGAGAAGCTGCTCAATTCGGGTTTTAAGAGATGCAACTGTAAGCTAAGTGCTGTGTCCTACCTCGGCGTGAATACCTCGGCATGTATGCCGAGGAGGCATGTTTACTAAGCCTTGGGACTATACCTCGAGGTAGGACTTCGGCCTTTCAACACCGAGGCTCCCTTGATCACCAAAATGATCCCCAAACGACTAAGTGTTGAAGCAGACCTTGGTGTGAACCCTTCAGCATGTTATGCCGAGCTCCTATGTTACACAAACCTCAGGTACCAGGCACCTCGGCATGTATGCCGAGGTCCTCATCTCTCCAACCCAGATCACAAACAAATCCTCTTCACGTTTCAAAGCTTTAACCGGATCAAATGCCAAGTCTCATGCATGTTCTTCAAGTGTTCATCAAAGTTTCAACCCAGCACATGACCCCCTGGTGTATGGCCCTCGGTGTGAGACTTCTTCAGATGGCGAGGGGTGGCTCCAGCAACCCAGAAAGGGCGGGTCAGTACCCAGTTTGTCCTGGGCTGACCCGGCCCACACCCTTTTATATAAATAGTTTTTAGAGACTAAAACCCTAGTTATGCTTTATCTTATCCTCTAATCTGCCTCTTTTTGTTTTCTCTCTGCTTCTTAGTGTAAAAACGAGTTTGATCAAGAGATATCTAGCAGATTTAATCATCTTAAAGCTGTTTCTTATCATCTAATCATCTCATCTCTGCTTCTAATCATGATTAACACCACCTCTTGCAAAGAAAATGGTGTGTTAATCATGATTAGTGAGTAGTTATCTTTTAAGCTTCTAGGTGTGTAGATTAGGGTGCTTAGATGATCGGTTTATGATGTTTAGGTTCTAGATTCTCATCTCCTTTCCTTAGTTAGCTGCTCTTAATGCTAGATCTGTGCACATCACTCTGATCTAGACCTTAGTCATTTCTCCACCCACAAGGTGTTTGATGAAATGTCTGAATGAGCTAAGCTAAGGGTTTATGCCTTTTTCATCATGGAAATGATTTGTTAAATGCATGAATGACATATTAGAACTGTTTCTTAATGCTCACTGATTCATATTTCACAAATGATGATTTGGTTTGAAAGTGGATTAGTGTAGAGATTAATGCCTTCATGAGAGGATTAGTCTAGATTTGAGTTCTAAGTTAATTGGTTTTGAGATCATGTGATTGCTTGTTGCTGCTTTCTGTGTAAGATTCGGTCTCCTTGAAATAGAAACCGTTTGGTCATTATTAGACTTGATACTTTATGCTTGTTGATTGCTTGATCTTGCTTAAGGTGAATTAATCTTGATTAAGTGATTTACAAAGAGTTTATTGTCATGGGAATGAATTAATCTGATTTTGAAGTCTAGACTAAAGAGTAACTTGCATTGCATTATTGTTCTTAGCATCATGAATAAATCTCTAAAGCACCCTAATCAATGATCACATCTAGAGGTTTAGCTTTCTCTTTGTTTTGAATCTGAGTCTTTGTTTTGTTGTCTTGTTGCTTGTTCTTAAATTACTGCTTGTTTTTTGTTTACATTATATTTTAGATCACCTTGTTACCAACTCATCCGCTTGTTAGACTTGAATTAAGATAGCTCCTCATAGTTCTAGTGTCTAGAATCTCTCCATTTGGATTGATACCTCAAGTGCTACAATGACATGAGTAGTTGAGGAATTGATCAAGGATTGAAAAATTCCTGCTATCAATTTGGCGCCGTTGCCAATTGGAGAGTTCATTCTAGCATTAGAACTTTGGATCTTCTTGAGATCAAGTCATTGTTTTCTTTTGTTTTACTAAGCTTTTATTTTCACCATGTTAATGTATATCACTAAGAGCATGCATCTCTTTGAGATGATGAATTTTCTCTTTTTCATTGTTACTAACTTGTCTTCCTTGATTCTCTTGAGCTTTGAAAGGTACCAAATTCACAAGAAGAGAAATGGAAAGACACGTTCTATTGAGCTGTTGGAGATGGACGTCCACAAGAGCATTATTCCAGTCCCAAAACCGCAACAACAGCCACAACCTCCAGCACTGACCCAAGCTCCAAAGAAAACGCCAACAGTTGGAAGCTGTGACACTCCTTGTAGTCATGGAAAGAGGTATGGCATCCACCCTCCTCCAATTGAAGCTGCGGCCTATGAGATCAAAGCAAGCTTGGTTAAGTTGATTCAAGAAACTAAGTTCTTGGGGTCTGGTATGGAGAATCCATATGATCATTTGGACTGCTTTGAGAAGTTGTGTGACACATTTAGGACTGGAGGAGTGCCCCACGACAGTATCAAGCTCATCTTGTTTCCATTTTCACTTGGAGAAAAGGCAAGCAAATGGGAGAGAGCATTACCATCCCACTTGGTAAATTCTTGGTATGATTGCAAGATGATCTTCCTCCAAAGGTTTTATCCCATACAAAGGACTATCCAAGCTAGGAAAGACATCTTGGGCTTCAAACAAAGAATCCATGAGACCTTTGATGAAGCATGGGAGAGACTTAAAGGCTACACTAGAGATTGTCCCCATCATGGGTTCCAACAAGAAGCTATTCTTAGTATCTTCTATTGGGGAGTTGATAGAGAGCATAAATGGACATTGGATGCAGCTAGCAATGGGCGTTTTGCGACTCTTACCATAGAACAAGGAGAGTTACTTGTTGAGAATTTGGCCAAGAGCAATGAAAGATACAAAGAGCTTGATACTGAATATTGTCAAGATGGTAAAACTGAGGTGGAGCTTCGTTTTCAGCAAGAGTCTGTTCCACAAGAGCAAGCTGCTTCAAAGACTCAAGAAATGGAGCTGAACAGCATGTTCCAACAACTTCTGAAGGGACAAGATGAGCTCACAACAAGAGTAAAGCGTTCATACAATGATCTCCACAACAAAATAGAGAGTTTAACCTCTCAAGTGAATCACATGGAGAGCAAAGATCATGAAGCTGCTGTAAAGGAGATAGAACGTGTACTCTTTTGTCCACAAGAAGACATTGCTCTTAGAGGTCTTTCTTCACAAGACAATGAGGACATTGAGCAACTCAGTGGAGAGGTGACCCTTGGAACTGAAGTTTTCGCTATAAAAGACATCCATGGAGCTTCTAGAGACAAAGTTCAGATTACTGCTGAAGAAAAGGCCGAACAACAGCTTCAGAAAGAAGAAAAAGCTATTGAACCGCCAGCTTATGTGTCTGTAAGTCTCTGTGATGAGTTTCAAAACTTTGAGATGACGTATGTGGGGACTTGTGGAATGAAAGAGAAGGATCAGCCGTTTGCTGCTTGTGAGAAAAAGAAAGAACACCAAAGAGAGCTTGATCTTGAGTTCATTGATGGTGAGAAGTTCTTTAGTGATGATGAGGATTGCTTGGAATCTCCACCTCCTACACCAGGTGAGAAAGAGATCAGCAGCAACAAAAGCAATGGTTCAGAGTCCCAAGACAAGCGCCCAACAAGCATTAAACCATTCACTCTTGGGTCTTCTTCTTCTCAAGTCTTAGCTCTCACTCCATGGAAGTTTGATGGTGGAGCTGTGGAATACAAAGTTAAAGGCAATGTGAGATCAAGACCATTTGCCAAAGTCAGAGCTATCCTCACACAAGAACTCATAGACAAGGGATCTGGTGGTGTCCAAGAGCTGATGAACAAGGACCTCATGCTTGAATTCATGGACATGACAAGGAGCATCAAAGCTCCTCCTCTCCCTCATTAAGAAAGGTTTTACAAAGTCAAACTTAGTGACTTTAAACAAAGTGCTCTTGGGAGACACCCCAAGCTTATCCTTGTATATAGTCTTTTTAATCTTTTCTTTAGTATTTTCAGAACGTTTTGATGGGTTTGCTAAGTGATCTCAGATTCTAGAAAGCGTTCTTGCTCAATGGTTTGAAGGAACAAGTGCAGAGAGGAGCTTAAAGGTGGCGGCCTTATGATTCAAAGGAGCAGTGAACCCGACACCTCGGCCAAGCACCTCGAGATGATCATTACCGAGGTCTCATGTTTGATCTTCACGGAATAAAGTGCTGTGAGAAGCCTTGGAGAGCCAAAGCCGAGGTGTTCTTGAGCTAATACCGAGGTGCCCTTGCCACTTACACAGAAACTTGTCCACCTCGGTATAGAAGCCTCGGCATGGCTAGGCAGAGGGGTCCCTGAACGAGCATGAACAAAAAGGGACGCTTGAGAGACTTGAGTCCAAGCAGAGGGTTCAAAGCACCAGCATCCTCCTCCATGTCCAATGCCTCCATTCTATCATGAACAAGTCTGGTAACTCTCCAAACTCATGGTACATATGCATCTAGTTCTTAATTTTTCATTTTGCATTTTTCTTGCTTTTTCCTTTCACTTCTCTCTTATGCTTTTATAACACAGAGGACTGTGTTATTTCTCAAATTTGATCTCAATATTTTTGTTTTGTGTTGTTATTTTTTTTTATATGCAGGGTATGTTTGCAGCAAGAGACCATCTAGGTATAGCAGCCAAAAATCTATGGAGTCATCACTCGGCTTCTAGCGGTATTCTTTTTTAATTACAGTAATTTCTTGATAAATTTTTACTCAGTGTTTTTGGTCTTGCATACTATTGTAAGATGGATGTGTTGTTGGCATTATCTTTGGAATAGAGGTGGAAAAGTTTTATTTTATGGAACAATGGCAATCTATGGAAAACAGCATGGCTTATATGGCACATAACTTTAAAAGATTCAAGTAATTAAGACCTGCTACTGTTGATAGTAGGCTGTGGAGTTTGGTATGATCATTCTTACTTGGAAACATTTAGTATTTTCGGATGAAGCTTTTAACTTGAAACTTCTCTTCAACAAGGAATCATTCTCTTCTGTTCTGGCTAATCATTGGTTGTCTTTCTAATTTTGTTTTGTATGTTACTGCGGAGCCTTTAGACAGAGAGAATAAAACTGAAGTTGTAAACCAACGTTTACGAATATATACACCAAAAATGCCTCACAATCACTTATAAAAAAATATCTGAATGGAAGCTGTAAGTATTATCTTCTCTTACTTCTACTTAAAAAAGATAAAAAAAATTAAAAGAGAAACTTTTTAATGTATTTTTTAGGCTATTGTAGATGGTACGTGTGACATTCCGATTTCTGGTATATGTGAAAAGATTTATAAGAATTTATTTGACTATCTATATATGTGAAAAGGCTTATAAAAATTTATTTGGCTATTTATGTCATTAAAGTGCACTTATCTTTTCCGGTCAAGTGTTTTGAGAGAATTCCAGAGTTAAGCGTATTTATGCCTGAACAATCTTAGGATGGGTGACCTACCAGGAAGTAGTCTGAGGTATCGTGCAGATGAAGACAAAATAAGGAAAAAGATCACGTGGTGATTGTAGGGACAGTAGACAACTCTTACGAGCCTCCTGGACCAAGCGACTCCCGACCGTTGGACAGGGGTGGGCCCATGGGCCTAGAAAAAGGCCAACCGTCGGACAGTGGTGGGCCAACGGGCCTAAGAGAGAAGGCGTTAGGCTCACTAGTAAGGGCAGTTGGTGGGCCAACGAACCTAAAGAGAGGACGTTAAGCCATAAAGTATACGATGTTGGACTCAGTGGTAGAAATGGTTGGGAGCGTTCAAAGTTAATAACCAATCCAGATGAAAGGAAAATTTGGGATCTCATGGATTTGATAACCAGTCCATCTGGTTAGGGAAAAAAGAAGCGGGGTCTCACAATACAATACGATACTTGAACAATTGATTACATGAATTTTGGATGAACACTTATTCAGAGCCTTCTAAAACCGAAAGCATATAGGTATTTTAAGGCATCAATGTTGGTTTTCGTAGTGGTGATTGTCATGCTTACTTTTTGTTTTATTTATATCGAGGGTTTTTTTTTAACTAGAAAGGGTTTTCTTTTGTCTGGGATATATCAAGTTATCAATTTTGACTGCAATTTGTTATTTATCAATATTCGAGAAGAATATTTTATTTTATGTGGCGACTATAGTCTTAGCATTTGCAGTGATTCTATCTATTCACATACCTGATATCTCTCATCATTTTTTTCATTCTATTTTGAAAAACACAATTGATAACTTTTTGTATTTCTGAAATTCGTTGCAGAAAAGATGTGTGTAACAACATATTGAAGGTAGAGAATGGTTCGAAGCTAATTGACTCTTCTTTAAATCAGGTTTGTTGGTGTGGTCTCAGACCTGGTTTTTTTTGTTTTGTTTTGTTTTGAACAGTCTGAAACCTGTTATCGATTTTTCTTATTATTAACCTTAATCCATTGTAACAAGCGGTCATTTTTTCATCAGCATGGAGCTTTTGAAGGACCTGAAAACTCTCTTTAGCTTCACTCTTGAAATCCTGATGTGATCATGGAAATCAAAGTATGAAATCTGTATTCCTTTATGAAGAGAGGTTCCATTACCATATTATATTTCTTCCTTCTTTTTTTGGTGGTTTTGAAGTGAAACTCTACGGTCACATTTTTAGTTGCATAGTGAAATTGATTATTTTGAAAAGGTAGAACAGACTCTGCAAGTCTGCTTTATCTACTCAACCTCATTTTGGTTCCCTACTTTTGCTTTTACATTACGTCTTTGTAGTTTTTTTTTTTGAAATACACCTTTGTAGTTTATGTGTTCTTTCATGATCATCAGAGAAAAAAAAAAATACTATGTTGATTTCATACTTGAAGACAATCACAATCCATATTACGGATTTGCATCTAAGGATAGAAAAATACTTCATTTTGCTCAGTTGAACAAGTTCACATACAATTTGAGAAGAACACACTACAATAGATTGTGAATCTTATATATAAAAATTGCTCAACTCTCTCCAGCTAAATGACACATCAGCATTAGAGAGAATGACACCTGTCCCAAAAAATTATTTATATTATTAATGCATAAACAGAATTTAATTTCATTTTCATTATGTTAAAAATATTAAATCATCAAAATAATATAAACTAAATTTAAATTTAAATTAAACATCACAATGTATAAAACAAAAATAACTTGAGATTTTTGTTTTATCTACTCTTTTTTTTCTATGTGATTTATTCATATTTTTTAATTAACAAAGATAATTTATTCATAAAAAGTAAAGAAAAAAGATAAGTAATGAAACCCAAAATAAGAATAATAGATTAAGAAATTTCAAACAAATAAAGAACAAGTTTTTTAGAGTTATAAAATCACAAAACACAAAAAAACATTTATTAAACAATCGAAAAGATAATAAATTATCAAAAATAAAAAAAATGACAAAATAGAAAAGAAAAAGAATATGATAACAAATCTTTTCTTATATATAAAACTTGGCCAACTCTCTCCAGTTAAGCGACACGTCGGCACTGGAGAGAGCGTCACCTGTCCTTTTCAAATATTAATAAAATAAATAATTAATCATATTTAAAGCAAACACGTTAAAACACATATAAATAAAAATTAATATATATAATGAAATTCAAATTTAATTTAAATATATAAAAACTTATAATTATATAATACAAGACTTTTTAAATTCACAATTCTATTTTCTTTTTTCAAATGTTTAAACTTCATTTACAAGCTAAAAATATAATAAAATTTTTATGCAACTGACAAAAATATGAGATTGAATAAGTTAAAAAGTTTTCAAATGATCTTATATAAAAATTCAACTATTAAATTATAATACACATATCATATTTAATAAATGATTAAAAAGATAAAAGTTACTAAAAAATAATAATAAAAAGAAAAGTATGTACATAAAAATATCATATATGTTTTTTAAAATAATAAAAATAGATGGAATCAATAAAATATAGATAACCAAATCAAATAGTAAATTTTAAAAAATTAACAAATATTATATTAGTAAGATTTACAAGAATAAAAAGATCATGAAGATCAGAAATTAGACTATTTGACACAACTGGTAAAGAAGAGATTACAAATAATGTATCATCAAAAAGAAATTAAAGAAAATATAAATATTTTAAACAAAAATACATTAATAGTAAACATAAAATTCAATAAAATTATTTAAAATATAAATTAAAACAAGACATGCGCGTATGCGCGTGTTCTCTCCTAGTATTTATTAAAATTAGTAGCTAGAAAAGACAAAAAAACAACCAGAAAATACTGAACCATAATTTGGGTTATTTTAGAATAAACACTCTATTAGCTACAAAGTAGATGATGTTAATAAGCTACAAATTAAAAATTGGATTACTTTCTTATTATCTATCTATTTATTTATAAAAATCTAACCAAATATTTAGTTATTGCTATTCATCGAAAATCGTTAACTAAATGTATCCGAATTCAAATTAAAATATATACAAATATTTGTCATCTAGATTTTCTTCTTCTTTTGCAAATAACCCTGGTGCAATTTTGAAAAACAGTTCAAAATTAATATTATTTTTAATTTTAATTTATGGAAAATATTTACTTTCTTTTCAATAATTCAATAAAATATTGTAGAGCATTTTATTTTAAAGTGTTAGATAGTATTTTTTATAACAGTAAGGATCTATTTAGTTGAGTTTTAAAAATAAACCCTGTTAGGAAGAAAAAAAAAAACTTAATCAATTTCAAACTTATTTTTGAAACTTTTACCCGAATAGTGAATACATATTAGTAATATAGACTAAACATATATTAAACCGACTTGAAAAATTTAAGAATGGTAATTTAGACGAAAAAAATATTAAAAAATTGTAGAACATGGTAAGTGTCATACACCAAATCACATATTATTATTAAGAAATCAGTTAACAAAACGATTTCCACCTTTACATATTAATCCCTAGATTTATTTTTAGATCTCATAAAGAGATGATTAGTAGAAAGTTCTACTGAATGAACAGCCACATAAACAAATAAAGTCAGGAAGGGAATTCGTCAAAAAGACCCTTTTATCGCCATACCTATTTAAAGAGAGTTCGTCAAGAAGACTCTTTATCACCATACCTATTTACATTATGTACAAAATCTTAATAATTAATATACGGAAAGCTGAGGTGGAAAAATTGTTAACGAAACCGAAGATTGCAAAAGTAAATCCAACATTCTCACATTTACTTTTTACGGATGATAGTTTATTCTTCTGTAAAGTAACCAAGGAGGAATATCAGAATATTTTGCCATACTAAATCAGTACGAAAGGGTTTCAGGTCAATAAATTAACTTTGACAAATCCTCAGTTCAATTCAATTATACAGTCCTGATAGATGTACAACAAAACTTGAAGCAAATCCTAGGAATCTGTCGTAACAGAGAAACGGGGTCATATCTGGTCATCCCGCAGAATCTGGGTGGTGCAAAGAGTAATATTTTTTATTTTGTGGTAGAAAGGCAATACAACTGGATTAATAGTTGGACATTACGATTATTATTAAAAGGGGGAAAAGAATTGTTGATTAAATATGTAGCATCAACAATGTCTACTTTTGTTATGTCATGTTTTCGGTTACCTAAGAGAACGACGGTAAAATTAACAAGTGCAGCAGCAAAATATTGGTGGAGCTCTAATGGT